TCTTTTTCCGTGTCCGGCAACGGATCGCAACCCTCAGTGTTGCCCCCGTACCGGACCGGGACCGGCAACGGGATCGCAACCCTCGGTGTTGCTCCCGCGCCTCGCTCAGCCAGTGAGCGGGAACCGGTCTGTATGTGGGATCCGAACCCTCGGGCGGGAGCGCCGCTGCGCTTCCCAAGCGGCGCACTATCCAGTGCGCCACCGGGCCGGCCCAACATTTATCATTTCTTTGTGTTGGGAACATCAAAGTCCTCTCTTCTAGCTATTTGAAAATACATAATAAATTGTTATTAACTATAGTCATCCTATAAAGCTATAGAACACTATAGAATACTATAGAACGCTATAGAACCTATAGAATACTAGACCTTATTTCTCTTATCTAGCTGTAATTTTGTGTCCATTAATCAATCTCTCCCTATCTCCCCTTACCCCTTCCCTTCCCAGCCTCTAGTAATAAATATTCTACTTTCTACTTCTAAGCAGTTTACAGTACTTAGGTTCCACATTTATTTTTACTTCTTTTTCTTCCCTTTTACTTTCCCTTCCTTCTCCTCGTTATGGGAAAATTCCAGGTCCTGCTGGCTAGATCCGGGTTCTTGGTGTCTTGAACAAAGAATTGGAGGAGACATGTCAGAAATGAAAAGTACACTCAGGAGAAAATGGAGTGGGCTCAAGTGAGAGAGAAGAGTGGTCTAGAGTGCTAATGGTTACACTCTTGGGGTGTTAAGTCCTCTTAGCTGCATTTGTGCCATTTGGTCACTGGTTGAGCCCTGAATGTAATCTCTGTAGTATTGGTTAAAGAGACTGGCACCCTAGCTGGTGGGAACTCATTGGTCTAACCGAATGGCGCCCAAGGTGGGGAGGGCTCCCTGCCTGGAATTGTCTTTGTTTCCACTTCTGTGCATGTGCAGGTCTGCTCAGGGAACCAGTTTGTTCCATTCGCAAATAATCAGTTTTTTCCTTCTCCCACTTTTATCTCTACCTAGCTTCTTTCCTCATCCTCTTTTCATCTTTCCTCTTTCTTCTCTCCTTTAGAAGCAATGATTGCTAAGAACCCAGCCTCTGGAGCCAGGCTACCTAAGATCAAATCTCGGCTCTGACACTAAAGATGTGACCTCGAGTATATTACTCCACTCTGTAGTGGTATCTTCCTCTGTTAAATGGGGACAATATTTATCTACTTCATAGAGGCATTGAAAGGATTATATATGAGTTAATTCTCCAGTATATAAAATGCTAGGAACAGTGCCTGGCAAATAAAGTAGTAATTAGTAGAAGATATTTTTTCTCTGTTTTACTCAATAGCCTCTTTCATGTCTGCCTGTCTTTCACCCATGATCACCCCAGGATTTAAGTTACTAAGAGCATGGGGCACCTGTTGACTCTCCATTGACTGTGTCATCCTAAAACAGGAAAGGTTTTCAATGTTGTGAGTTGATGTAGTGAGGAAAGCTTGTGAGTGGCATTTCTCACTGGGATGCAATATGCCAACAGGCATGTTGTTCCCCCAAGGGAGCACCAGCACCTCTGAGAAGACAAAAAAGGAGTAGCACCAATTTTCTCTCAGGGAGGCCACTGGGAATGCAATGTGGGACAAAATAGATGAGATTACTGCCTTTTGGATTTTAAAGCTTAGCGGAAGAGACCATCATTAAACAATCATTAAATGCAATTTTATTAAATATGAAGAACTATGAGGGTGTAAGATGGAAAGGCGTATTGTAGTGTGGAAGTCAGGAAAGACTCTCTGGAGGAAAGGACTTTAAGCTGTTCTCCCTCCCACGTGGAGTATCATAACATGATCCAAGAGTACAGTTTATACAAGTCTCTTCTATAATTTGGCACATGTAGTACAGGCATACAACAGTAAGGAGTCTTTCTT